ATGAAGTCATTTATTTACCAGAATTAAAACAAACTGGCTTAAATATAACCCTAACCTAGGCCGAACACTTGTCATATGATATTGTGATGATCACTGAGTTAACTCTTCTTCAATCTACCCAACTTTTTAAGTTGAATGAATAATTTTAGAATGGTTATATAAATAAAATTAAGACGAAGTTATCATATAAATAAAATTGAAGGGAGAAGAGTTATTATCGTTTGTGAATGCTTTAGGTTTATTAAGATTTAATCCTAATTATCGTCTGTCACAAATATCCTGTACATTTTTATCTTTGCCTTGAAAATCACGGTATGGGACATAGTAAATCATATGTTCCATAACGTGATTTTCAAGGTAAAAACCCTAATTTATTTTAATGAGTTCATTACTATGGGAGAAAATCTCACATTTCAGGATAGAATGAAATTCAGTTGGCTATGTTAATAAAATTACCTAATTTTGGGTAGATTGAAGAAGAGTTAACTCAGTGACATCACAACATCACATGACAAGTGTTCGGCCTAAGTTAGGGTTAGGTTAGGGTTAGAGTTAGGGTATATTAGGCCAGTTTGTTTTTAATTCTGGTAACCAAATTACGTCATTATATGTTTATCATGTGATCGTCGATCACTGAGTTAACTGTTCTTCAAGTGTCCCCTAATTTTTTGGTTTAATTATTATGAGGTATGAAATACCCCTATTTTAAATTTTGTACGATGTACACTGATCCGTGTTATTATGGTATAGAGTGATTATGAGTAATGATGTGCCGCGTACAGTACTATACGTACTAGTACTGTACGCTAAAATTTTTACCGATCACCTGTTCCAGCCAATCAGATGCCAGAAAAGAACTATGCGCTAAAATTTTTCAGGTATCATATAAATGGCACATCACTAATTATGATACGATGGTTTGGTCAGTACCACGGTGATTACTGGTAATAAATGTAATGCGTGCATACGTACGTACGTACGTACGAGGATGATTCTGACGCAACATATGCAAGATAAATTGTACCGTTTTTCTTCTTTTCCATTTGTTTTATTTACTATCATATTTTGACAAAAAATAGAAGGTAGTCTATATGTTGATAACACAAAAGAAAACACGATTAACATTATAGCGAAATCCTCAAATCGAGAAAAAATATTTATTACAGCCTATATTGAAAGAAATTATAAACAGTCCAACTTTCTCCATAACAAACGCTGGTCCTGGACGTAAGGAAAAGTTCATTATATAAAATATTATTTTCTTAAGAACCATAACTCTTTATACCAAATTAATATAAAATTTAAAATTTTTATTCATTATTTCCAGAGTTCATTATAGAGATATTCGTTATAAAGAAAGTTGGATCTATAACTAATTTAATAATTCCGTAATTCAAATTTTCACCATATAGAATCTTCACTGTGTCGAGAGTTTTGTTCTTTCCATTATTTAATCTGGAATATATTTTAGAATACTACAATCTTTTTATTGCTTCATTTGAAATATTTAATTTGGCTATGAATAAGATTCATTTATAAATCTATCTACACCGAAGCTTTCTATAACGAACTTTTTTATAACAGGCCCTGATACATAATGAGCTGTAAAATTTTAAAGTATATATTTTGTATATTCTATTATTCGATTTCATTTGTATGATTTAATTCAAGTTTTACAATTCATTTGACCTGTTCATGATTATTATTAAGTGGTCAAATTTTATTTGTAGAATATACTAATTTTATTTCTAGAAAGCAATTAAGAAAGTCCTTTCAAAAAAAAAAAAAAAAAAGCAATATATTTTTTTAAAAAAAAGGGATTTATAAAAGCACGAAAAAATAGGAAAAAAAAAATAAAACCAATTTGAATTTTCCGGAGAATTGTAAGGCTTGAATATCATGCAGCTGTGCCTCGATTATTCAGCATCATAGTCAAGGTTAAAAAAATATATGTATCAGTATTATACTGTACAGTACATAAATTTTATGTAAAATATATTTCTGTACCATACCGTACAGTACAAGATTTTAATCGTACTGAGACCTGCGAGTCAGTCGTTTAACAATCCGAGACGTGGGAAGATTGAAGAACAAGTACCCAGTGATATCTTCATAATAATCACATCACATGATTAAGTACTCGGCCTACGTTAGAGTTAGTGTTAGGGTTAGGTGATAGGTTAGTTTAGGCTAGTGCTAGTAAACAAATGACGCAATTGCATGATTTCACGTGATGTGATACCACTGGGTGCAAAACATTCATTTTTTGATACACCTGCACCTACTTTTTTGATACTAATCGACATGCAGATCCCGGTAAAAAATAAACCTTTTATAAACTTTGAGCGAAGATATAACGACAACCACCTGCTTGAATCTGATAAAACTTTAGATTTGAATTCTATGGATTCATAGAATTCAAATAAAAAAAAGTATTTCGAATTTAGCCATGTGGTTGTCAAGATATATTCGCTCAAAATCAAAACGCCTATCAAAATAGAAACTGCGCAAATTACTCTCTAACTTTGAGCGAAGATATCTCGATAACTATCTAACCAAATTCGATAAATCTTTTTTTATTTAAATCCTATGGATTTATAGAATTCAAACAAAAAAATTTTGATCGGATTTAGTCAAGTGGCTACCGAGATATCGTCGCTCAAAATTAGAGAAAAATCAAACTGTTTATCAAAATAGAAGCTACGCCAAATTTTCTTTTTAACTTTGAGCGAAGATATCTCGATAACTATCTAACCAAATTCGATAAAACTTTTTTTATTTAATTCTATGGATTCATAGAATTCAAATAAAAAAAATGTCATCGCATTTAATCAAGTGTTTGTCGAGATATTTTCGCTCAAAGAAAAAATTAAAATGCGTATCGAAATAGAATCTACGCCAAATTTTCTTACTAACTTTGAGCGAAGATATCTCGACACCCACTTGACTAAATGCAATGAAATCTTTTTTATTTAAATTTTATGAATGCATAGAATTGAAAAAAAAAAGTTTTATCGAATTTGGACAGACCGTTATCGTTATATCTTCGCTCAAAGTCTGAGAGAAAATGATAGCCGTTTTATTTTTCTCTAATTTTGAACGAAGCTACCTCGATAGCCAATTGACTAAATTTTATCAAAATTTTTTTATTTGAATTCTATGAATCCATGGGATTCAGATAAAAAAAGATCTATCGAATTTGGTCAGATAGTTATCAAGATATCTTCGCTCAAAGTTAGAGAGTAATTTGGCGCAGCTTCTATTTTGATAGGCGTTTTGATTTGTCTCTAATTTTGAGCGAAAATATCTCGACAGCCACATGTCTAAATTCGATGAAATTTTTTTTATTTGAATTCTATGAATCCATAGAATTCAAATCTAAAAGGTTTTATCAGATTCAAGCAGGTAGTCAGCGTTATATCTTCGCTCAAAGTTTTTAAAAATTTATTATTTACCGGGATCTGCATGTCCATCAGTATCAAAAAAGTAGGTGCAGGTGTATCAAAAATGAATGTTTTGCCACTGGGGTACTTGTTCTTTAAGTGTCAGGTGGTTATATTTGGGCGAGTGGGGATTTAGGGCGTTGGTATTTCCTCTTTGACCTGTATCTGGAACTTCTTAATGTACAATATCCCCTCATTCTCTGGACTTTCCACTTGTATATCGTATAAAAGGTATAGAATTATTGGAATTTATTTGAATCACGTAGGATATCTTTCCTCAAGGGCGAGAAGCCTTTATTATATACTAAATCTATCTTATGACTTATTAAAGTCTTATTCGTGATACATCCTTTGGGACACTTTTAAGAACAGGTAACCCAATGATCGATAATAATTTGGTAAACCAGAATTGAATAAACTGTCCTAAACTATGATCACTGTGTTAACTCTTCTTAATTCTTCCCCATCCTTTGAATTATCCATCATAAGTAAACTAATTATTTTTATTATTATATAAATCATTGATATCAGAACTTATTCCCCTATTTACACCTTTTCTAACCTATTTACGGTAAGTGATCTCCATAACCGATAAACTGCTACCACGCCACACCGATCACAACCTCCACGTGCTCACGGGACAATTTGTCAAAATCTTATTGATCGCTTGAATGATGATCATCGCTCCACAATAGATTGTAGTTGTGACGAAGATAAGCGCTTCTATTACATAAAAAAAAAAATCCTTTAAGATTGTGATCGGTTATTTTAGAGATTGTACAGGACATTTGGATTGCGGTTTTTTGGATATGACAAATCAAAAAGTGCTAAAGTACCCGAAATTAAAATTATATTGAAACGGGTTAATTCATGCAATGATCGTGAATTTCCTATCGCTTTACACAACTTTTTGAAAACGATTGTGATTTTCCCATGATATGGTGATTTGACCCCTTCTGAAATATAGTAGCTACCATGTAAGTACGTTTAAAAAATTATTTGACATGATTTAAGAATAACATACCTCATTTTAACATGAATAAAATAATTGGCAAAAATGTACAGGACACCCGTGACGGAGGATAATTATTATAAGATGGTGCAAATTTCGTGGGTTAAAAATTACACGATTCTAATTGAAAAAATTGAGCTATTTTCAATTACCACTATTTAGATACGCAAATAATATAGTAAATACTTTAACAATTCTAACATTACTGACCATAGAATTTATAAATACAATTCATATAACAAAGATCGAGTTTATGAATTTATTAAAACTTTGAAGTAAACAAATATTAACAGATAATGAAAATTATAAATATGCTAAATATAATATGAACATTCTATTCTATGTTGAATAGATAATTGGATATTGAATCATTACGCATTAATTTATATAATTATATAATCTTACAAGAAATTCAAAGGTAATCAAATATGTATAATATAAAAATATTTATGAAAATTATGAGCATTATTCTACTGTATTTCAGTATTTAGTTTATCTTAAATACGTTTATATTATTATGCTACACTTAGTCTAGTAAAAATTACTTAAGGATGATGTAAGTATTGAGTAAATGCAGTCGCACCGACATCATTCCTATTCAAATTTCCAGTATTCCAATTTTGCTCTACGGTTTTCAAGAATGAATAATGATTATAAGCGGTAGAATCATTATGATTAGAGGGGGGTACAACGGGGGTACCTAGAAGACCAGCAAAAACATGATTGTTTCCAGTATTATCATCTTCATCCCAAGTGTAAAAGATTAATGTATTTGTTGTAAAAGCAGGTTGCAGAAGTTTTGGTTCAAGCCAATTTTTAAACCAAGTTTGTATCGCATATGTTGCATTAGTGTCATGTCCATCATCATTTTGATTTGGTACAACATAAACATATTGTGGTACAGCATTGTTGGTTATGTCAGTATCGAGTTGGGTGAGAGGAACTATTTTCGCACAACGGGCGGAGTTTTGTCTTATATCGTTCATTGAAATGAAAGGATCATGTTTCCTTGCGTAAAGGTCAGTACCCGAAGGTGCAAAAGTACCAGTGAAGCAGTTGCCAGCTACAAAAAATAGGAGAAATGAATAAAATTCAAATATATAATATTTTAATTATAAGCATGATATACATACGATAATTTTCCATATAAGCTTTCCAAGAAACGTTTTTGGCTTCAAGAAGGTCAACTAGATTGTTTCCTGCAACATTATGACTGTTATCGTCCGTGATACCAGCGGTTGAGCCATAAATTGTGGCAATGTAATTTGGCTAAACGAAAAGAAAGTTATTTTAAATATTACAATTAAAATTTAAAGAATAGAATAAACGCACCTGAGACGGATGTCCGATTGCAAAGTAATTGGAAAGGAGGAGGCCATTAGAACGAGTAGTTAAATCCTGCATATATGGTAATGCGGCCGCTGTACCATACGCAGTGTTTTCAAATATAACAAAAACAATTCGGTCAAAGTAGGTCCCCGTTACGATGGCATCGACAGTCACCGCAATAGAAGCGGTGATTAATAAAAGAATGGCAGATGTAAAATATTTCATCCATGTTTATATGTAAACTGTTATGTAAGTTGTGTGAAAAGTGACAATCACTTTCGGTGAGTGGAATTCATCGCGTTTTTATACTGTAGAAAAAAGATGGATTGGTTGGAACATTAACTATACGTTTCTTAATATGATATTAAATTTTTGCACGGAAAAAATTTACACTGTTTTACAATTAAAGATGCAATATGTGCAAGATCTCTATGAATAAAGAACTGGAAAATTTTTGTAATATCATGTGGAATTTAACATTTGCGTAAAGCGTATTACGCGCATATAACTAGTCGTTAGTATTTAATGATTTAGCATTACAATAATCGTTTAACATAATTAAATTTCTGATCACATTTGAGTATGTCTGTACATCCAAAAAATTGATTTGTTTATTCTTAAAAATTTGACATTGACTCTCAAATTTCTTGTCCAACCTCATTTATGTTAACAGATTTGGTTTTGTTTGTATAACAGAAAATTCTACTTAAGAATATTCTATCTTCGGAAAATCATTTGTATGCTATAGTTAAAATTCAGTAATATTAAACTTTAAAAATTTTAAAAATTTGAAATTTAAATTATTTGTAATTCAAATAATTTAATTAATAAAAAACTCGAAATTAAATTACTTTATATAATGCTAAAATTTGAAATTCGGAATAATATTAAATTTTGAACATTAAATTATTTAAAATTAAATCAAAATCTATATCACAATTTTTCTTGTCGCTCTATAAATGTGTATTTGTTTTCACCACGCAGAGTACTGATCTTTACGCTAATTTAATAATATTAACCATAAGTGTCGAAACTTAAATTATTTTGAATTAAAAAATGACACGCATAGAAAAATTTTTCACTAATTTAATTCCGCAATTTAAATCAAATTTATTTATTTATCTGTCGTATTACGAAATGATGTAAAAGAAAAGCAATTACATAAAACAAATTCTTTAGGAACTGAGTAAGCCCTTGACTTAATATGGAAATAGAGATTGGAACTGATGAGTTTTGAATATCGTTCGATCACAAATTCTAGAATTCCGAGGTTGATCGAAAATCCGAATGTCAATTGAGTTTTTTAAAATATTAAAAGCATATACAAAAAAAATTTAATGTAGGGTTTTTAGCAACGCAATATTATTACATTGCAAAATTCTGGTATTGTACCAAAAGATAAATTTTCGAAATTGACCACTTTTCGCCAATAAGTAGATTGAGTCCGGTAACATAGTGGTTAAGATTTCGACCCCGGTTTCCCACACATTAAAAATATTAAAATAACCTAAATTTAATTTATGCAAGTAGCACCACATTCAATAAACAATTTAAATAAAATTTTAATTATGAGATTAAATATAAGTAAAAAGCGGTCAAAAGATAGTTTTGAATTATTAAGCCACTGTTGAACTATTATTTCTAACCGAGACAGATCAAAAACATTTAGAAATTTTGCATAATCAAATAGCGTTTTGGAAATTTCCGCATTTATCCCATATTCTTTTAAACTTCCTTTTATAACGAGTTTTTCGTCTTCAGTAAGAGACGAAAAGTCTACGATCGACCAAAGAATAGGAATTGACATTTTGCACCAATATTGATTTACAAGTGCGCACGAGTATAAGGAATCAATTTCATTATTTAAATTATTAAGAATATTTCCCATTAATTCGGGCATATAACCGATAAATATTTCTGATGTCATTATTTAATAGGAATAGAAAAGGAATTTGGAGAGATGTTAAAATCCGGTATTGCTGCGTATGCAATGTAGCCTATAAATAGAAGGATGGTTTTAAACGCCCTTTGAAAATTGTGAAACATAATTTTGCCAATTTAGTTTCTTTTGCTCGATTTCATGTCTAATAGTACAAACTATTTTGAGCAAAAAATGGCTAAAAAAGTCAAGGGTGTCACAAATTTAAAAAGCATTTTGTTAGTATACTCTCTTGCCCTTTCTCTTGCACGCTCTGTAATAATCAAAAAAAAAAACGAAGACTAATAAAAATAGTAAATAGTTTGTAATTATGGGAAATGCGAGATTAGATGATCTACTCTAATCAAAAAATCGAATATGTGTGTTTAATATTTTTAAGGACACGAATGGATTCTGCGCCAGGTTATACAGATCCATGGCCTTAACTGATAAATACCCGTATCTGAATTGTTAAATAGGGTGCCAAATTTTCTGTTTTGCTTAATCATAGTGTCATGTATAAAAAATATGACACTATGACGTATACCTGTAAGAACTGGGTAATTTCCATGAACTAAAATATTAGATCTAAAAGCCACTGCTCAACCCTCTTTAACATGAACAACTAATTTAAGTTCTGAAAACACTAATTGTCCACCCTTGAATAACCCAAGTGGGCAGACCACACAAAGTGAATTATGGTGGTCTTTTAGATCTCGATGGAACTGAGAGATGATGTTGAAATTTACCGCCACAGTGGGGAAAGCACCAAATGCCTTTACTGGATCTTTGATTTTTTAAAAATATTGTTACAATAAAGTTAACATAAATATAATTAATATATTATTAATATA